AGCCTTCTCCAGCGTGATTGGTGTGAGTGTCGGGGTGGATCAAATGAGATGTAAATGAGCAGCACGATGCGAACCGAGCTGGTTGTTTGGAAACACTGGTGAATTTCCAGCGAACGTTTCGTCTCAATCGGATACATTGCAGCTTCGGATTGTTACTTAACGTTCGAAATTGGAACGCGACGCTTCCGGAATGAGTTCGATCCCGATTCGCTGAAGGCGAGAGTCCCAGGAATTCAAGGGACGTTCAGCAAAAAAAAATCTCAAGCATCTCCCGTTTCGGCGTGAGATCTGGGACGTAGTTTGCGTAGGGCTGCTAGTGGGCAGTATTACCGCTTGTTGTGATTACTGGATTTTGGGGCTGTATACTGCGCCATCTTGAGACTTCTTTTTCTCCCCCCCACCCCCCCCACTTCTCCCTCCCTCATCTGAAAGATTCCGGGGGGTTTAAAGGATATCTTGTTTGCTCTTTCACTCGGTCTACTGGGCCTGTAGAAGGCGGCCAAATTAAAACTTAGTCCACTCCACCCCCGGCCCCCCTTGGTTGCCTGATCCCACAACCACAAAAAGAGAAAAATCACCCCCTTTTTTAAAAAAAAGTGATTGATAGGATCGAGCATGAGTATCGAAACACTCCTGGAAGCTGCAATGTTTTTGGAATTGCAAGCGCAACAACAGAAAACACGTGGTAAGAGAGCGCATGGATGTAATATTTCTCTCTCTCTCTCTCTGACCAATGCGGATACTCGTCTGTTTTTTTTTGTTATTTTGGCCCGGCTTTCTGAAAATCCGTATAGCCTTTCATTATTACACAATCCTCTTTAGATTGTTGCACTTTGGACGTTACATTGTATTGTTACATATAAGTGATAGTACTAGACATTGTAATAATGTTTATGGCAGGAAACGATAACGGGATTATTTTCATTCAGAATTTTTTGAGGCAAGTCATTTGACGTAAAATATAGCTTTTCTCGTAAAATCACGTAAAGTAATTAGGATCATTTACCAGTCAGCATCGCTGTAGGTTTCGGATGTAACTGACAATATTTTTTTCTGTGGTGAGCTACACATTTGTAATAAGGTTGACACGTGGAGATGTTCAAATTTTGGATAATGCTATCCGCTTATAGTGCACCAAAACCACTCGATTGTACCGTGTGCTTATGATTTAAGGAATTCTTTTCCAGGGGCAGGGCCGAGTCAGACGTTCAAAAATACTGTAGTCTGTTTGCATAATGACGTGTCGTGGCATGGGGTGGAGGTGTCATATGATACTTGGTAGTTCCGCTTTTTTTTGTTGCAGTTTTTAATCAGTGTTGTTTGAGTTAATCCGACTCTCTATTGTTGAATGTAACGGAAGGCGGAAGAGGCAGGGAGATACATTGTAGTGAGGGATGTCGCAGAGCCGGCGTTGCTGGCATCTCCCTCAGCCTCATCTCCACGAGCTATTGTTAATAATAGTGGCAGTGTATTTTGTTCGGCCTGACGTGTCTGACTCCTCCCCGCTACCACGTGCATTGGGACAAGCCTGCCTCCTGTAAATTCAGATTCACATGTTACCTATTCAGAAGCTCTCCAGCAGCAACACACGTTACAAATATGGTGGTGCGAGTTGTTCAGTTGTCAATTGACCGAGCTTCCCGTCCCCTTTATTTAACAGCTGTCGAGTACCCTCCACCCCTTTGGCGTTTTCCCTTTAAATTCCAGCCTTGCTGTCATACAGTCGCGTTTCCTGACGGTCGTGGGCGGTGATCGCCTTACATTCCGCACTACTGTGTGCACTTCACCCTGGATGACTAAGCCTGAGACGGTCGATTTTAGATTAAATTAAATCATATAAGGGTACAATACGAAAAAAAATTCAATAATACTTCTCCGGGCGGGAGGGATGTATTAAAACATCTCCTTAAGGAGAGCTAAATAACATCCACACTTTCCATTCACAATGCTGGACTAAGACTTCATCTCTGTCCCCCGGTATCATAAAATCTTGTCCCTAGACTGCATTATTGTTTCGCCACAAATCCCCACAGGTATTGAGGATTTCCCCCTTCCCGAGGAACTACATTCAGAATTGAGTTTAGCAGCCTTGCCATGCTGTTACTCTTCATTTTTGACACTGGGGACACGATGGCCTAGTGGTATTATCGCTGGTCCGTTAATTCAGTAGACCCAGATAATGATAGACTCGGGTTCGAATCTCGCCGTGACAGATGGTGGAATTTGAAATTTGGAATTAAGAATCTAATGATGACTATGAATCCATTGCTGATTGTGGGGAAAAACCCATGGAAACTGCCATCCTTACCTGGTCTGGCCTACGTGTGACTCCAGATCCACAGCAATGTGGTTGACTCTGAACTGCTCTCTGGGCAATTAAGGATGGGCAATAAATGCTGCCCTCATCCCATTAATGAATAAAGGGGAAAAAATTGTTGAAAAACAATGTGTACTGGCCGGGGGGGGGATTATTTTGTGAAAGAGTTGACCTATTCTTTGGCACTTTTTGACTGCAGAATAATAGCAGATTGATGCCCTTTTATCTCTGCTGCTCCCCACCCCTCATCTTCAACTGTCATTTGTGGGTGTAAACAAGCTGGGAGCAGGGAGTTGACAACACTGCATTCCCATTAAAAACCTGGGTAGTGGATATCTTCTGGAGGTTAACGTTGGTAGAATAAATAAGAGAAGCTGGTCCTTTTGTGTTTCTGTCTTGATAGGAGTTTAAGAAATAGAAGGAGACATATGTTGTTATATGGTCCCTCAGATCTGTTCCTCCATTTAATAAGATCATGTGTGATCTTGATAATTCACTTCCCTGCCCTGTGTCTCCATCTATTCTGTGATTCCTGTTGAATACAAACATCAATCAATTTTTAGCCTTGTATTCAATGGCTGAGCATTCACAGCTCTCTGGGGTTGAGAATTCAAAGATTCACAATCATCTGAGGGAAGGTAGTTTTCCTTATCATAGTTCTCCATGGCTGAATGCTTATCCTGGGACTATGCCCCTTAGACTCTTCATCAGGGAATACAAACTTTCAACAGCTACTGTGCCATGCCCTTTCAGAGTTTCAACTTTTGAGACTTTTGAAAACAGGCCTTTTTTACTCAATCTGTCTCAGGACAACTCTCATCTCAAAGCTCAAACTCGTGAACCTCCCCTCACTCAAGCTTCCTTAGGCACGGTGACCAAAACTGCAGAAGTGTAATTTCACCAAAGCTCTGTACCTTACAACAAGAGCTCCTTTTGCTTGTACTCCAACACAATTGCAATAAAGGGCAACATTTCATTTGCTTTTGTAACTGCTTGCTGGACCTGCATGTTAACTTTGGAGTATCTTTGGGACATTAATCAGAATTTAATACTTCCTCTTAATTAAAAAAGTTTAGTTCTATAACCTTGCAGCATCCTCATTAGAAATTTTTCTCTGAAATCACATTTTTCAATTAAGCATAAAAATATTTTTGTTGAATATATGCACTACCCCCATTCTTTCCTGGGACTATGACCTCTGTCTATTGATCGTTTGTTTGTTTTTTTTTTCTTAATTGTTAGATAAAAGCATTGTCAATGCAAATTTGCTGCAATGGGAGCCCTAATCCAGGGGTAGATCCTTATGCTGACTGTGACAGGTTGATTCATTGTCAAGGGTTCATTCCCATTTGGGGGCAGGCAAAGGGAGAGCTGTATACTATGTCTGACTGCTCTAGTGCAGAAAAACCTTGTGCTAATTTTATGCTTTCAGACTCCATACTTTCCACGTATTCCCCCATCCACAGTAATATCCTTGACATTGGTTGAAAGTGTGTTTTTATATCTGCCAAAGAAAACATACTTTTGTTCAAATTATGAGCAGGTTTGCCTTGTGATAAAGCAGACAGAGATGAAGTAGAACTGATTCTTTTCCAGTACCAAATTATCTCGGCTGAGTGGATACAACTGGCTTTCATCTTTATGTGAGGGAAGAGGAGGAGAATCATTTGCATTCTGGATTGTCCGGTCATCTCTGCAGGAGAGTGAGAATGTTAGTTGGGGATAAGATGGGGCTTGTGTGATAGCGTCATACAGCAATGAAACAGACCTTTTGGTCCAACTCGTCCATGCCGACTAACTTTCCCAAACTAAATTGGTCTCGCTTGCGCTTGGCCCATATCACTCTAAACCATTCCTATTCATGTACCGATGCAAATAGCTTTTAAATGTTGTAACTGTACCTGCAGCTACCACTTCCCCTGGCAGTTCATTCCACATACAAACCACAATCTGTGTGAAAAAGTTGCCTCTCAGGTCCTTGTTAAATCTTTCTCCTCTCACCTTAAAAATACATCCCCCAATTTTGAATTCCCCATGCTAGGGAAAAGACCTTTACTATTCACCTTATCTATGTCCCTCATGATTTTCTAATCCTCTATAAGGTCACCCACAAACTCCTACACTCTATCCGTCCTGGTAACATCCTGGTAAATCTTTTGTGAACCCTCTCCAATTTAATAATATCCTTCCTATACCAGGGCGACCAGAACTGTACACTGTACTCTAAAAGTGGCCTCACCAAAGTTCCTGTACAATCAGGACTCCTGTTCCGACTCCTATGTGCGGTGGTCTGAGCAATTAAGGCAAGCATGCTAATCATCAACTTTACCACCCTGTCTACCTATAATGCAACTTTCAAAGAACTATGTACCTGAACACCTAAGTTTCTCTGTTCGACTACACTACCCAGGACCCTGCCATTAACTGTATAAGTCCTGCCCTTGTTTGTTTTACCAAAGTGCAGTACCCCACATTTATTCAAATTAAACTCCGTTGCCACTCCTCAGTCCATTGGCTCAATCGATCAAGATCCCTTTATAATCTTCGATAACCTTCTTCACTGTTTTGATGTCATCTGCAAACGTTAACCATGCCTCCTTAAGTCTCATCCAAATCATTAAATATTATTTACAAACGAAAGTGGACCCAGCACTGATCCCTGTGGATCACGACTAGTCACAGGCCACCAGTCCGAAAACAATCTTCCACCACCTCCCTCTGTCTCCTTCTGCCAAGCCAATTTTGTATCCAGTTGGCAAGTTTAACCCTGAATCCCATGTGATCTACCTTTACTGATTATTCTACCATGTGGGAATCTTGTCAAAGGCTTTACTAAAGTCCATGTAGACAACGTCTATCGCTCTGCCATCATCAATCCTTTTGGTTACATCCTCAAAAAAACTCAATTAAGTTTGTGAGACATGATTTCCCATGCACAAAACTATGCTGACTATCCCTTGCCCCTCCAAATGCATGTAAATCCTATCTCTCAGAATCCTCGCCAACAACTTACCCACCACTGATGTCAAATTCACAGGTCTATAGTTCCCAGGCTTCTCCTTCTTAAATAAAGGCACAACATTAGCCACCCTCCAGTCCTCCAGCACCTCATCCATGACTGTAGATGCAAATGTCTCTGCTAGAAATCCCAGAGTTTCTTCCCTAACTTCCTACAATGTCCTTGGATACACTTGATTAGGTCCCGGAGATTTATCCACCTTTGTTTTTTTTTAAGCACTTCTTCTTCTATAATGTGGACTGTTTTCAAGATATCAACATTTATTTTTCTGAGTTACCTAGCCTCCATTTCTTTCCCCACAGTAAAAACTGACACAAAATATTCATTTGGTTTCTTTCCCGTTTCCTGT